GATGGGGAAGGCCAGCCCAGAGCTTGAGCCCAATCCCAACAGTGCTGGCTGTGTGCCATGGCCCTGGGTCCCCATGCTGGGATTATACCCCACACACAGCAAAGGCTGCAAGGGCCTCTGGGTTGGGCCCTGGCTATTAGGGTTCTCCTGAGTCCTGGGTTGGCCTCTGGCCACACTGACGAGGCTCGGTGTGGCACAAAGACGAGTGTCTGTCACAGGGCAGCAAGGGCCAAACACGGCCCTGAACTAGGCGTGGTGTGACCCTGCTGGCAGCTGCCTGTCGGGCCCACTGTCCTCTCTGTCCTTGCCACTCTGCCCCTCAGCAGCCCACCTCATCCATTTGGGGCCCACCTTTGACAATATTCCCATCAACACTCACTGAGCACTTTCTGTGTGCCCGGCTGGAGGGCAGCTGAGCAGCCCCCTGGTCCCTGTACTGCAGGGCTCTGATCCTTGTTCCCCAGAGAAACTCTGAAGTGGGCTCAGTGTAGGGGTGTGTGCTCAGTCTTACTGGAGGCAGGGGTGAAGCAGAGGTGACCAGAGAAGCTCCAGATGCAGCCACTCAGTTGGTTCCAAGCAGAGGGACCCCCGGAGCAGAGAGAGTGCTGTGGTGTTGGAAGCGGGGTGGGACCACCCTTGGGGTGACTGGGAGAAGGCTGCCTGGAGCAGACCTGGTGCGAGAACAGGCCCCTGCAGGCCTGACCTGTCAGCCCACTGTCCTGGCTCAAGGGCTGGCACACCCTGACCACGTCCTGGCACAGTCACTCAGGATGCAGCCCAGCTCCCGCAGCCGCAACCCTGTGACCTGGGGCTGTCTGCAGGGTCCTGCGGGCCCCGCCCCTCAGCTTCAGTGCAGAGCGGGGGAGGGCGGGCCTTCCCAGCCCTCAAGGACCACAGTGCTTCCTGTAAGAACTGTAAGAACTCCATCTGTCCGTCTCTGCTGTTTCTGCTGCCGAGTGCCGGAGTGCCGGTAACTGCTTGAGCGCGGTGGAGGGCGGGCTGACCCTCTGATACCCTGCAATCCACTCGCGGCCCAATCGATGCGCGAGCCCCGTGTGTGGGGAGCAGTGCCCCGTTTGCGAAGCACTTTCCCAAGCTGTGATCTCATTCTGGCTTCCCAGAAGGCCGGTGGGCAGCAGCGGATGGGGCAGCCCCTCCTCAGGGGGGTGTCTGCAGCCCAGAGGAGCAGAGGGGTGCCTGGAGCCATGCTCAGAATAACAGCCCCACCCCAGCTATACAGTGAGGGCACTTGTGTGCACATTCTGGGGAGGGACACAGCCTGGCCTTGTGGAGATTGTACACACAGATACTGGGGCCTGGGAGGGCCCTCCAGTCCTGGGTTCGGGGAACTGGGACTTATCTAGAGTCTCCAGGCAGCCAAGTGATGAGGTTAGCACATTCAGTGACCCTCCAAGAGGCAGGCATGACCCCTGAGGTGACCCCCAGCAGTGCTCTGAGGCCTGGCCTGGGAAGTCTGCCCAAAGGAAGCCATCAGGGCTCTGGCAGCAGTGGTCCGCCCTGTCCTCCCTGGTCTCCCTGGGCTCTGGAAGAACCCACCTCTCTGACCTGGCACAGGTGACAAGAGAAGCTAAAGGCCCCGCACAGTGAAGCTGGGCTTGGGACTCTCGTTATGGAGGTGGGGACAGGGGCTGTGGAATGGACGCCCTCCCCCAGAATGCTTCCCTGCCCCTAAAAGAAGTTAGTATGGCATGGTGGGAAAGTGGCTCTGCCTTCTCCTGCAGGCAACAGGGTGATGCCACTTATCTGCTTTTCCTTTTTGCTTTGGCTGCTAGGAAGTTCATGGTCAAGCTGAGCTACTACATGGATTGTTGAGGCCTTCAGGTTTACAGTCACTCCTTGCCCTGACCCAGTCCTGGTGTTCTAATCCTTCCTGACTTACGAAACAGCACTTCCAGAGAGCACCACGTGCCAAGGGCCACGTGATGGCTCCGTGCCCTGGACGAGCTGCCGCTTGCCACTGGAACAGAGCACCACAAACTTCACAGCCGACAGCGATGCACGTTTCCTCTCCCACAATCGTGGAGACTCTGAAATGAGTCGGCAGGGCTCTGCGCTCCTCCAGAGGCTCCGGGGAGATCGCCCAGCTTCCCGAGGCCCCGCACTCCTTGGCCAGCAGCCCCTCTTGCGTCTTCAAAGCCAACGGTGAGCACCTTCCGCTCGACCTCAGCTGCCGCCCACACCTCGCCTGCTCTGACTCTGACCTTCTCGCCTCCCTTGTGGTCACGTGAGCCATCTGGGTGTCCAGGGTCACCTCCCTTCTCAAGACCCTCCAGTCATGCATCTGCAGGGGCCCTTGACCACATGAGGCAGCACATTCCCAAGAGCAGGATAAGGATGTCTTTGGGCATCACTGTGCTGGTGGCATGTCACCAAGCCAAGTAATCTGGACAGCGCCCCTGTCCGGAGCCAGAGAGGCCTGGCTCTCCAGGCTGGGTGAGGGTAGGGTGGGCCTTGAGGATAGGGATGGCAGTGTGTGGGCCGTGCAGACAGCAGGCACAGGACACACACACACACACACACACACACACACACACACACACAAAAGAGGAGGCCCTCATGGGGGCTGTACGGAGGCCGGAGCTCCCCAGGCCTCTCTGTCTCAGAGACGCAGATGGCTGGCCGGGTTAGACCCCAGTAGGTGCCTCCACCAACCCAGGATAAAAGGGTCCCAAGGGAGGACCTGGGGCCAGTAGGACTCAGGGACAGGAGCCTCACAGGCACACTGGAGAGCTGGCCGAGATGCCCAGGGGCCTGCGCAGGTTCTGACACATGTTCTTCAGCAAAGGCCTGGACCACCCAGGCCAAGCACAGCCTGGTCCTTCAGAAGACAGTCACATGCCTAGTCGTGCCGCCCCTGTGTGGGCGTGCAGGCAGGAGAGGCTGGAACATCCAGGAAGGTGGGAGAGAACCCACTTGGAGAGGCGCTGACCTTGGTCCAGCTGCCATGGGACAGTGGGTGGGTCCCGCCCACCACAGGCTCTGCACCCCGCCCACTGGAGGACCGTGGGGCTCTCCATGAGCCATTTCTGTGCAAAGGTGGGCTTTCAAGGGCTGCCGTGAGGACCCACGGCCACTGTGTACAATCCCACATGGTGAGGTGAGGGGGCGTCCACACAGCCCATGTCCCCATGGGAACAAGCCATTCTTATAAATGGTGGGCTAGAGTCCCTCAGCTGCTGGGTCAAACTGTTATGTAGCAGATGCCTTGAAACCACAGACATTCACTCCTTCACAGTCTGGAGCCAGAACCCCCAAATCAAGGGTCGGCAGGGCCACACACCTTCTGGGGGCTCCGGGGAGGGTCCCTTCATCTCCTGTGATCACAGGCAGAGCTTGTGGCCACATCACTCCAGCCTCGGTCTCTGTTGTCACAGGGCCGTTTGCCTTCTCTGTCTGTGTGTCTTCTCCTCTTCTTACAAGGACACCAGTTGTTGGAGTCAGGCCACCCTGCTACACGACGACTGCCTATCAACTACTGACATCTGCTCAGACCCTATTTCCAAACAGGGCCCCGGTCGCAGGTACCAGGGTTAGGGCATCAGCATGGTTTTATAGGGGACAGGTCCCCCAGGTGTGGAAACTGTTTGTACTTGTCTACCAACCTGACGGCTGGTGGTTCAAACCCACTCAGTGGCACTGCCAAAGAAAGGCGGGGCCTCTGCTTCCATAAAGACGGCAGCCTAGGGACCTGCTGCAGCCACTCCACTCCGTCACGAGGGGCCATAGCGAGAGGGACAGCAATAGGTTTGCTTTGGGCTTGCCTTGGGGTGACACCATTCAGCCCATGACAACAGGACAGTACTAGGACATGTGCTGTTCGGCCTAATGACTCATCACCTGCGTCAGGTTCAAGGACACCGCCAGACACCGAGAGCCAAGGATGGAGACGCAGGAGCCCCAGGGGAGAGGGAGGCATGGCTTTCAGAAGAGGCGGATCAGGTGCCCAGAGATGGGCAGAGACGGTTGAGGGTGAGGATGGGCGGGGCCAGGGCCTGCACATGCTAACTGCTGCCACTTGAACACAGTCCAGCCAGACCAGCACTGGTGAGCTGACCGTCAGCCCAGCCCTCCTTCACACAGAGCTGTCCAAGGACATGCAGCACTGGGGACAGCAGACCATTGGAAAGACCCTAAACTTCCCTCTGGAATGGCTGCCTGCTTCAACTATCCCAGGGCAGCAAGGGCCTGTAGGGCCAAGGACAGGGCCTGAGGTTGAGGCCACGCGCCTGCAGGTGGGTCATGGGCAGGGCCTGTGGGTGGGGCCATGTGCCTACAGGTGGGGCTGTGGGTGGGGCCATGTGCCTACAGGTGGGGCTGTGGGTGGGGGCATGTGCCTATGGGTGGGTCATGGGCAGGGCCTGTGGGTGGGGCCATGTGCCTACAGGTGGGGCTGTGGGTGGGGCCATGTGCCTGTGGGTGGGTCATGGGCAGGGCCTGTGGGTGGGGCCATGTGCCTCAGGTGGGGCTGTGGGTGGGGCCATGTGCCTGGGGGTGGGTCATGGGCAGGGCATGTGGGTGGGGCTGTAGGCAGGGCCTGTGGGTGAAGTCTTGAGCTGGAGGGGTGGCATGGCCTGAAGGTGGAGCCACGTGCCCATAGATGGGGCTTTGGGGAGGGTCTTTGGGGGATCATGGGGGGTGAGGGGTCTGATGTGCCTTTTTGGGGGGTTATGGGTGAGGTCTATGAGTGGGGCCATGGGCAGAGCCCCGGTCAGAAAAGTGAGTGAGGCTGTAGACAGAGCTATGGGTAATTTGGGCATCTCCTGATCCCAGCATCTATACACTCACTGCCTATGGAGACCAAGGGGACAAAGGCCAGCCATGTCTGCCCACTCCACCTCACCCCTCTGCCCCCACAGGAATGCCCACACACAGCCAGAGGCCTCGCGGAGCCCCCGACAGGGAGGGTGGCTAGGGCTTCCTTGGGTGGGCGCTCTGCAGCACCGGGACAGAGTGAGGCTGCAGACGCAGGGCCGTCCTACCTGAGGAAAGTCGCTGCTCTTTGGTAGGAAGCTGGGGCCATAGGTGGAGACCGTGGGAATGTAGCTGGTGTCTGGGCAGGGCTGGCCGCCCACGGCTGGGTACAGGTAGGAGGCGGGGAGCCCAAGCTGGCTGCAGAGAGAGACGAGAGGTGACTGGGGACGGGGTGGGGCCCATCTCACCAGCCCACTAAAAGAGCCCCCACAAGCCCCCACCCACAATGTGGCTCCACCAGCATCTGCTGAGGCCCCTGCAGGCCTGGCCCTGCCTTGACGGGGGTCAGCTGGGGTCACAGGGCCACGGAACATGCCAGCCCATGAGGAGGCTGCCCAGGGCTCACTGCTGTGGTCAGGAGGCCCTAGACGTGAGCCCCACCTGGCTTCTAGAGCATTCTGAGGCTCCTTTAAAAGAGCTCCACCAAGCCCTGCCTGACCAGGCTGTGGCCCAGCCTCCCGGGAAACAGCACTGTTCAGACCCCGGGGCTGCCCTTCCCCCGGCCCTGGCTGGGGAGGTCTGGGGGGCAGAGGTAGCCCTGCTCCTTTGGAGGCGGACACTGGGACCTGCGTTCACTGTGGTTCTCTCCTGCCCCCGCCCAGGGGCCGGCCTGCTCCAGGTGCTCAGGGTCTCTGCGGGGAAATGGCCGCCCTGGCAGGCCTGGAACAGCCTCCCCCTGGCTGGCTCTTTCTAGCTCTCAGAATGAATCCTTGCTAGGTTCCAGTGGTTGGGGGAGCACACTGCCAAAGGAGAGGGGGTGCCCAGAGCTGACTGATGGGGCCACTTTGTCCCCAGCTCCATGGCACTTGCTGCCCACCACCCACAGCCCCAGAGTATCAGCGTTCTTCTCAGGGGACTGCTGACAGGGACCAGGTATCATCCCAAAGCCCAACCTGGAGACTTCCCTGCCAGCCCTGCTCTACTCTGCCGATCTCACGCCCACCCCAGGGCCCTGCCCAGCCTGACCAGGCCCCCTGCGCCCCCACCGAAAGCCTCTTCCCGAACAAGGCCTGGGGTTGGGGTCAGCAGCAGTAGAGCCCTGGACGAGCCCCCGGGGGCCAGCAGCCCCAGTGCAGGGGCCATGCCGGACCCTCCCTCAACTCCCAGGAACAAAGAACCCTCTCTGCCCCAATGGCCTGCTGCTGCTTCCGGAACAAGTTCCCAAGCCCCATCTGAGGCCCTCTCCCCTCCCCATCCCTGTTTCCTCGGCAGTCACTCCAGAAGCTTCAAGTCTCCGCAAGGCCTGGTCTGCCCACACGTGCCCTCAGGCCTTTTGCACAAACCATGTCCTTGGCCTAAGGTATTCCTGCCAGCAAGCTTGCTTCCCAGGAAACTCTTACCTATGCGTCAGAACCCAGCTAGCTGCCGCCCTCTGTGGGAGGGCTCCCTCAGGTGCCCCCTCACCACTCCTTGGTCCCCCCTCCCCATGCAGCCTGTGGTTGTCTGCCCCTCAGTGCTCAGCTGGACCAAAGGGTTAGTTTTTAATCGCCTCCGTGTGTCTGGGGCCAGCTCTCAGCAGCACGGAACCCTGACCTGCTGCCCCTTGGCAGGACTCGCCCTCCCCTTGCCGTCCCTCCCTCGAGACCCACACGTGACATCACCAGGGCGGCACTTACTGGCTCTCACTGGAGAAGGCTGGGTAGGGCGCCGATGGGAAGTAGCCATTCCACCAGGCGCAGTGCAGCATTGCGTTCTGAAAGACAACGAGGGCGGCATCAGACACTGGGCAGTGGGGGCAACAAGGACCCAGCCAGGGCTATAAGCCAGGTTAGGGGTGAGAGGCTGAGAGCCAGGGTTCCTGGCCTTGTCCCCTGGGGTAAGCTGCCCAACCATCACAGCCAGTTTCCTCATCTGCATGACAGAGCCGGCCTGATGCCTGAGAAGGGCTCAGGCCAGGCCTCTGCTGTGAGCTCACTGTGTGACAGAAAGCCAATTAGAGCATTACCAAGTGACCCTCCTCTCCTGTGAGTGACAGACCCTGGAATGTGACCTCAAAGCTGGCCCTTGGGACAAGGTTGTAGCAACTTCTTGGCCACAGCCAGCTACTCAGAGGGAGCAAGTAGTTGGACCTGTGGCCTCAGGACCATGGTCTCAGGGGACATTAAGCTCAATTGGCATAACATACTACACAAAAACACTGTTCCACTTCCTACTTTGGCAAGTAGCAACTGGGATCTTAAAAGCTTGCAAGTGGCCATCCAGATGTGACGATGGGTCTCTCCTCATCCAGAGCAAAGAAGAATGAACAAAACCAAATACACATGGAAACAGTTACTTAGAGGGACCGGTACACCATGCGATCCTCAGCCTATATGACTATGAAACCAGAGCTACATGGTGCCCAGCTACCACTGTCAGCCACTCGGAGGGGGATCTATGTAGGAGATCCTGGATGTGGGAGAACAATGTGGAACAAAACTCAAAATCATTAAAAAAAAAAAAAAAGGACCAGGATAGAGCCTGGTGAAACTTTTGAGCCCCTAGCTGCCCTTCGGGTCTGGAATTGAACCCACTCCTGTGGCTTCTAGCCAAACAAAAGACAGGCATATGAGCTGAACATTTACACTAGATAGATACACTCCTTGAAGAGAACAATCATGGGAGAATAGAAGGGTAGCGTATGTACAGGGAGACAGCTCAGGGGGCAGGAGTGCATGGGAGGTGTGGTAGTTATGTTTGTGTGTCAACTTGGCTGGGCCCGGCTGAGTGGCTGGGCAGCTGGTGGTAGTTATTCCCCATGATGAGGCTGGCAATCAACTCCAGGGTGGGATCTACAACAAGCAGCTGAGTAGCTGCCTTTGTGATGTGGTTTGCTTCCTGTATATAAGGAGAAGCCTTGGAATGGTCTCTACCCTATGGCACGCTTGGACCCTTCATGTAGCCATGTCGTTGTTCAGCAGCCTGCTATGCTCTGCCAACCCTGGGACTTAAAATGGACTTAAGTTAAAGGCCTGCTGTGTGGTTTGGTAACATCAGGACTGTGCCTTTTTACTTGTCAACCTTGGGGCTTCTCAGCCTCAGCAGCCAGCAGCTGTCTGAGTGAAGAAATGCCTCTATCTCCAGTGGGCTGGGAGCAGGAGGCAGAGCTGGACCCCAAGGTTGAGGGGCTTTCACCCAGTCCCTAGAGCCTGACACTTTGAACTTGGACTTAAAGCCTCCAAATTGTAAGAATAAACTCCTGTTTGTTAAGTCCATCCCATCTGTGGTATATTCCTGTCAGAGCTGCACTGGGAGCCAGAACAGGAGGGAAGGACACAGGGAAGTGGCGGCTATGGGGAGGAAGTGGGAGAGGAGCTGTTATACTGTAGGAAATCTCAGTCAATGTCATGAGATAAACTATGTATGAACTGCTGTATGGAAAATGAATTTGCTCCGTAAACGTTCACTCAAATCACAATAAACATTAAAACAAAAAAACTGCCCCTTGGCCACAAGGCAACAAGTGCAGGAAGATGAAGGTCCCACTAGGGTGACAGACAGCGTCATCAGGTAAAACACAGGACACAGGACACTTAAGTCACACTTGAGTTCTGATAAGTAACCACTTACCTTCTAGTATAAGGATACCACATGCAATACCCAGGACGTACTTAACTGAGACACCCTCTGTTACTGGAAGTTCAGACTTATCAAGGTATAAAACCAAAACCAAACTCACTGCCATCAAGTTGGATCTGACTCATAGAAATCCCTCCTTGGGTTTCCGAGGTGGTATCTCTATGGAAGTAGATTGCCCAGTCTTCCTTCCAAGGAGTGGCTGGTGGATTTGAACCGCTGGCCTTCCAGTTAGTAGTCAGATGCCTTAGGCAATAGGCCACCAGAGCCCTCTATCAAGGTGGGCTTCATTGTTTTTAGAATCTCGATGTGGCACAAATGGTGAACACACTTGGCTACTATCCAGAAGGTTAGACGTCCATGTCTACCCAGAGGCACCTCAGAAAGGCCTGGCAATCTGCTCCCCAAAATTGCCACAGACAATGGGATGGAGTCCAGCTCTACTCAGACAGGTAAGGGGCCACCGTGAGTCAGGGGAGATATGGCAGCGACTGGCTTTACTGAACTGAACTTTTCCTCGCTGAATCGCCCACCCCGTGGCACAGAAAGCCTAGGGGCCGTCCCCCGGACCTGGGCAGCCCTGGGCTGGCCATGCCTGCGCTTTCTGAGTGGACTGGTCCAGCCAATACTCAGGAGAGACAAAGAAATGCAGGCTGCCCCTAAGCCATAAGCAGGGCCTGACCACACCCAGAGCCATTGACCACGGGGACAGCAGTGTCAGCGGGGAGAAGCTCAGGGTGGGGCTGCTGAAGGCTTGCAGGGTCTCCTGGACCAGGTCCCCAGCATGGCATGGCCTGGCTGCCACAGCGACTGTTAAAGCGGCCTCAGTGCTCACGCTGCTGCACAGAGGGGGACACGTGGGGTGGGGGGAGGTGGCTCGTCACTCGGAGCTCCCTCACATCCATGCTCTCTGACTGCAGGAGCATGTTCAGAGCTCAAGCCAGGACCCGCTCGCTGCAGGGCCCACCATGGGAAGACATTCGCCACACGCCAAGCAGTCCCCGTGCCCCTCGGAGCCTGTCCGGCCCTCACACCTGCCCTAGCAGTGGGCTGCTCTGTGGGCACAAGGACAGCTGTGGGCCACGAACCCGCTGGCACTCACTCTGACCCAGGAATTCCATTTTGGAAGCACACCCCGGGGCCTGATTGGGAGGGAGGAGGACTGGCCAGCTATTTATAGAGGCAGAGAGTTGGGCTGGCCCCAGAGACCTGGCAGCAGGGGAACAATTAAGAAAATGATGGGCTGCTGCAGGAAGGAGACCTGGGCGCGGGGGGGGGGGGGGGGCAATGGCGCTCTGGTTCCAAGGGCAGAGCAGCAGCGCCAGAATGAGCAGGCTTTCCTCACTGGTGGGGGACCCGCCGGGACACGAGGAGCAGACAGAGCGCGGGGAGGGTCTCAGAGGGTCACAGGGTTTCCAGGTGGAGAGGGGACAGGAACTGGGTGCAGCGGAGGCCTGCAGCTGCCTAAGCCACCTGCAGTGGCCCACCCCCTATATCTGAGAGGCTCTGTTACGTAACCTTGCTTCTGTCTGTCACCTGAGGACACAACGTGGGGGCATCTGGGCCAAAAGCACACTTGGGGTCTGCACTGGAAGAGTGCCTGGCCCCATCTCGCCAGGGGGCTCCTCTCAGGGTTCCCATAAGCAATGTGCCCTCCAGCTCCTGGAGACCCGCCTGTCCTGGACCAAGCTGTGATCTCCCGAAAATATACTTCTACCCGGCACCCTTGAACGTGGCCTCGTTTGGAAAGCATCTGTGCAGACGTAATCGGTCTGCCTGAGGCCACGCTACATTAAGGTGGGCCCTCATCCTGGCTGGTATCCACAGAAGAGACCCAAACAGCTTGGGACCATAGTCACAGGGGACATCAAGCTCAATTGGCATAACATACTATACAAAACATGGTTCCACCTCCTAGTTTGGCGAGTAGCGACTGGGATCTTAAAAGCTAGCAAGCTGCCATCTAGATGCAACAATGGGTCTCTCCTCATCCAGAGCAAAGAAGAATGAAGAAAATGAAAAATACATGGAAACAATTAGTCCTAGCGACTGGTACGCCATCTGATCTGCAGCCTATACGACTACGAGAGCAGAAGAACTAGATGGTGCCCAGCTACCACTGTCATCCACTTGGAAGGGGATCTACGTAGGAGATCCTGGATAGAGAGGGAGAACAACGTGGAACAAAACTCAAAATCATTTGGAGAAAAATAAAAAAAGGGGGGGACCAGGTTTGCTGGTCTGCTAGAGCCTGGTGGAACCACTGAGACTATGGCCCCCCTAGCTGCCCTTCAGGTCTGGAACTGAACCCACACCTGTGGTTTCCTGCCAAACAAAAGACAGGCATGTGAGTTGAACATTTCCCTGAGGTAGATACACTCCCTAGAGAGAACAATCATGGGAAAAAGAAGGGCTGCTTATACACAGGGAGACAGCTCAGTGGGCAGAAATGTATGGAGGGATGGACATAGGGAAGAGGTAACTGGGGAGGAAGTGGGAGGGGAGCTGTTGCATTGTGGAAAATTGCGGTCACTATCCTGAGAGAAAGCGTACGTGAACTGCTTATGGAAAGTAAATTTGCTCTGTAAATTTTCACCCAAATCAGAAAAAAAAAAAAAAAGAGAGAGAGACCCAGACCAACAGGTGGGACAGATGGCCACATGGTGACAGAGAGATGGGCCACTAGCCAGGAACGCCTGGGGCCACCATAAGCCTGGAGAGACCAGAAAGGCCCCTTCTCCAGAGCCTCCAGACAGAGCAGAGAGCATAGAGCACAGCCCCCCCCCCCCCCGAGTTTGGACGTGGGGCCTCCAGACAGCGAGAGAATGCCAGGACAGGGCAGCCTCAGGACACTGGCACGCCTGCCTTCACTCTACTTCCTGCCTGCCCCCCAGCACCCCCACCTCTGGTGCACTCTGGAACAGCCTCCACCTTCTGGGTCTCTACCCCAAATCAGTGACCAGGAGGCAAAAGCTAAGGCCATCCTAACGTGCTGAGTCCCATCAGCCAAAAGCCCAGGCTTGGTACTGCCTGAGGCTACCTGCATGTCCACTTGCCTGAGCAGCCTTCACGGAGACAAGGCTTCCTTGCCCCCATCAGGTGGGCTACAGTGGGGAGAGCCCTTGGCTCTTCCTTGGGTAAGCCCCAGGAAATGGACTTCCAGGCCCGGCCTGCTGTGGGTTCTGGAACCTTCTAGCCACTGGGTCTCTCACATTGGACATAAGCTGAGCAGGCTAGGGTGGTACCCGTAATTTAAAATCTGCCCCAAAGCAGCCCAGCACCCTCCCCTTGGGGACTGGACAAACGGCTCCATCCACAGAGAACTGGAGGCAGCAGGGGAGCAGCCCTCAGCAAGAAGCCAGCACTCAGCCCCAAGACCTGGAAGAAGCCCAATGCACTGCTTAGTGCATGGAGCCCGCTGCTGGTGGCTCTGGAGGCACGACCCACTGTCAGACATGCTGGGGAAGGCAGGACTGTGCAGACCGAGAGACAGCCCACGGTGGTCGGCGCTGGGGGAGCAGAGGGAGGTCAGGTGTTCTGCCAGCAGCCACAGGGCAGGATGACAGAAAGAGCAGGTCTTCACGGCAACTCTAACCCAGGGAGAACCGAGCCCAGATGCCGCAGAGTTGACACCGACGCCTGGGGACCTGGTGTGTCAGAGAACAGGGCTAGACAGGGTCCTCCGAGGCTGCGTTTGTGGAAGGAGGTGGCCAGGCCTTTCCTCCGAGGCACCTAGCGGGTGGACTCGAACCCCCAACCTTCTGAGTAACAGACGCGCACGTGACCATTTGTGCCGCTCAAGGCCCAAAGAGCAGAGACTTCAGTGGTGACTGCAGTTAGTGGCACAGCTTTAACACAGGATGGAAACCATGCAGGGACGGGCCACACACGCGCACCGTTTGCACAATGCTCCTGGGAACCTGGAGCTGCTCTCAGAGATAAAGTCCATCACAAAAGTCCAATCTGGAAACCATCCCAACACTTCCAAACTGCCTCACCTCGGTCCTGAACTCGAGCCCCAGTGCAGGTGCAGGCACAGAGGCCTGGAGGCCACGGACAGTGAGCTCAGCGCTCAGCCCTTCCCAGGAGACAGTGAGGGGCTTACCCACCATTCCACAGGGGGAAACAAGGCGGGCTAGGCCTGGACCCACTGGAGGCCCCGTGGGGTCTGCCCCAGCCACTGGCCTGGGAAGGCCAGGTCATGGCCACACTCCACAGTGAGCAGATCCTCAGCCAGGCATGGCGCCACTCACCCAGGGACCCAGGAGAAAGGGCAGGGGCTGCCAGGGACAGGGCACGCGGCCGGGGCTCACCTCAGCACTGGAGCCGCAGGGGGGCCGGCCGTACGGGATGCTGCTCACAGGCGGGGGCTCTCGCTGGGGGCAGTCCCCATCCATGGCAGGGCCCACCGCAAGCATGGGCGGGCAGGCTCCACAACCTGGGCTGCGTGGCCTCTATCTGGACTTCTCACTGGGCAGCAGTGGTGGCATCATGTCCTATGAGAGAGACAGGCATGTCCTGACGCTGATCCTGCACGTGCGGACAGGCAGCAGGGCCCTGCCCACCCCTCAGTCCTGACCTGACAGGTAGCGACCAGCCAGGGCTCTCCCTGGGGTGGGGGCCAGATTCAGGATGTCCTAGTGCTGAGTACGGTCCCATGCCGCCCTATTCCTCCAGTCCCCGGGAGGTCCCACCTGCCTGGCCCCTCCTGGGAACCTTGGGGTCTCATCATCTAAGTGTTGTCCAGGAAAGAGCCCACCAGGAAGTGGTCAGGAATGCTAGGTCAGAGCCTTCTGCAGCCAAGGACAAGAAAGGAGACCTGGAACTTTGTGCACCCCAAGGGTTATTTCAAGGGCCAGGTCTCCCCCGGGGCAGGTGGCCTGTCCTACCACCCGGGCCATGAGCAGCACACTGTGAACTGACCTCTGCCCCCAGTCGCCAGGCCAGCTGCCAGGCCAGCACCTCAAGTGTCTCAGGGAGCTTTGCCCAGCCCTGTCCTCAGGTGCCAGGCCCGGCTGTGCCAAGGGGCCCTGGGCAGACAGGCATCAGGCCAAGCCTGCTGCTGTCCTCATCACCAGCAGGCAGACTATGCACACACACTGGTCAGCCCCGGGACAGTGTCACAGGGCCCTTCAGCACCAGGAGCCACTCTGCTCCTTGGCCTTTGTGTGCCCCCCTTATGGGCAGGGACCCCAGACAGCCAGGCAACTGCTCCCTCCAGAACCTCGACCTGAGGGAGCGGGAAGGGGAGGAGGCACGGCAGCCGCTCCCGAGCCCGGCCCGGCCCAGCCCAGCCCAGCCCAGCCCAGCCCAGCCCAGCCCGTGAGGATGTGCGGAAAGCCTTGGCACTTCCAGTCACTTCCAGTCATCACTGCCACATGCTGGCGCTTGTGCAACCCAGGGCGAGGTGGGCGGGGCAGGCCTGCCACCAGCAAGAACCCCCAGCCACTGGCAGCCTCCAGGACAAGAGCCACTTGGGGGCCTGGGGGCCCAGCCAGGGCTCTGATGGAAGGCTGCTCAGAAGGTTGTAGGTCCTCCCACCTGCCCCATCCCCTGCATCCATTCTTGCCATAGGGGCCACACCTCCCTGCAGCCTCCCGCAGGGGGAGGAACAAGGAGCCTTGTCCTCTGTGGTCCCAGGTCTCACGAGTCCCCAGAAAGACTGGAGGGTTGGGGCCGGAGAGCCTAACACCTGCAACAGCTCAGTGGGAATCTCAGCTCTGCCAAGCCTTGGTTTCCTCACCGGGAAAAAGCGGGTTCAGGGGCTACATGGCTCAAGTGGAAGTGACCCACGGTGCTCAGAAGAGTGCAGGCTGCACGGGGGGCAGGAGGCCATGGCTTGCACTCTGGGCAGCCCCCTGGCCAGGGGTAACCCGTCGGGAGGTGCTGCTGGCAGCACCTGGGATGGGACAGCCCCTTCTGGTGAGAGGCAGCAGGACTACACCCTGGCCACGGGGAAAGTCTCTGTTCACAGCTCATGGCCTGGCCCTCCCAGACTCTTGGCTGAGTGCCCCCTACCCCCAGCCCTCCTGGCACAGTCTCCTGGAGCTGCGTTGGGAAGCAAAGCCCTAAGACCCCGAGACCCAGACCTCTCAGTCTCCATGCATAGCCTTGACACTCACCCCACTCCACTTGCCCCCGCACAGAGAGCCCTGAAGACGCCCAGGACAGAGATAGGGTCCCGCCTCCCCAGTCCCCTCCACCGCGGAGGGAGTGGCCACAGCCGTGCTGGGCCCATCTGCCCGCTCATGAAAGAGTCACGAGGCCTGTATTCCACAGCCAGCTCGGGCGACCACACACCAACCCTGTCCCACAGGGACACCACGAGGCTGCACGGCTGTCCTGGGACAGGCCCGTTGATTGCTAGGCTGAGAGTCACGTCACAGGCTGTGGGCCCTGCTCCAGAGCCCCAGCCCCAAGGCTGGGCAGCCTCCCTTGGGGTCATGGTCACTGTGAGCAGAGATGGGACTTATTTTTTTAACTTTTAAATGAGCTTTTTCTTCTGTTTTAAAATAATGAATGAAAATGGAACCACCCAGTCAGCTGGTGAAACAGCGTTCACAGACTTCCTGCGCCATGTCCTCATGAGCCAAGCAATGTCTGGGGCCTTAAAAACTGTCAGCGGCCAGCTGAGATAAAACCATTGGACTCTACTCATCAGAAGCAAAAGAGAAAGGAAACCAAAGACTCAAAGAAAGTGGTCCACAGCCTCATCCACCCTGAGCCCAGAGGAACTACGTGGTACCCAGTCCCCACCACCGACCGCTCTGACCAGGGCCACAGTCACTGGACCCTGACAGCACAGAAGCACGTGCAGCAGAACAAAATCTTTAAAATGCCCAGACTTCCGGGACCAGTTGAGACTGGAGGGCTCCCTGAGACCATTGTCTACGACACTCTTTAATCCTTGAACCAAGACTGTCCCCTGAGGTCACCTGTTAGTAAATGACAGACTGGCACACAGGATAAAGCCATTGCCCATGAGTGCAGTGCTCCGTCACAGACTGGCCCCATCTCTGACTCCAGAGCACAAATGAGAAAATGAGGGGCAGGGAGACCAGAGGACCAGAAATGGAACGAGGCAGCGGGGAGCACGGCGGCCTGTTGTGGGGAAAGTGACTGATGCCACCCGGACGGCAATCTAATTTATCAGGTAAACTCTCACGCGATAAAACATTAAAAAATAATGATAATGATGAAAATGGAGAACGCAAAAACCAAAAACAACAAAAGTCAGAGTCATAATACACTAAGCAGCTGTGCTGAGCGAGGGAGCGTCGCCATCCAGTGAGGCCAGCCCAACTGACGTCACGAGAATGTCCATGCACATGCACGGACAAAGGCACACACAAATACACACACAGATACACAGATCACAGACACACACATAGGTACAGACAGACACACAGATGCTGTGTAGTTAAGGCTGTGTGTCCACTTGGCTGGGCCTGGTTTGAGCAGCTGGCCAGCTGGATGTAGTTATTCCCCATGATGAGACTGGTAATCAACTCTATGGTGGGATCTGCCACAAACAGCTGAGTAGCTGCCTTAGGGATGTGGTCTGCTTCCTGTGTATAAGGAGAAGCTTTCAGAAAGGTCTTGAGCTTCTTGGTACATTTGGATCCTGCATTTGGCTGAGTCATCAGTGAGTGGCCCACCATGTTGTCTGCTGATCTTGGGACTTTTTCTGGACTTAAACTAGTGGCCTGCCATGTTGCTTGCTAATCCTGGGACTCTGCCATTTTACCCATCAACCTTGGGTTTGGCAGCCTCAGCAGCCAGCAGAGGCAGAGCTGAAGCCCAAGGTCAAGGTCAAGGTCCCTTCACCCAGCCCCTGGAACTGGCACTTTGAGCTCAGACTTCTAACCTCCTAAACTGTAAGAGAATAAATGCATTTGTTCCAGCCACTCACTTGTGGTATATCAATCAGAGCGTCACTAGAAAACCAAAACAGGTACACAAAGACACACACCAGTAGACACACACACAGACACACAGACTCACACACAGGCACACACACCCAGACTCACATTCACACACAAATTCACAGACATGTGAATGCATCCAGACACACCCAGACTCACACACACACACGACACATACCTCTATACACACCCAGACTCTCTCTCACACACACATACAACACATACCCCTATACACACCCAGACTCACACACACACACAGACACATGCCCCTATACACACACACACAGAGACACATACCCCTATACACACACAGACTCACACACAATATACACATGACACATGCATACACACATACCATGCCACACACACACACACACACACACACACACACACTTCGCTGTTGGAACAGACCAGGGAAGATCCTCCCCCCAAGCCTCAGAGGGAGCGTGGCCCTGAGTCCAGTCTCCTAGCCTCCAGAACTGAGTGGGACGAGTGGCTGCTGCCCCTAGCTCCCAGTATGTGGGATTTGGTCACAGTGGTCTCAGGGACACTCACAAGCTGGGGACAGCAAACCCTGCCAAGAGCCAAGCCTGACCCTCAGCCCAGCTCCCAGGGAGCCCTTGCAGGGCCAGTGGGAGGGGGCGAGCCTGGCCCAGAACTCGTCTGACTCGAATTTCTAAAGCGTCCCCAGGGGCGTCTGGAATGTGCAGCCCTGGTGCCAAAGCCGGGCACGGTCATACCCCTGCACCCCTGCTCAGGGGAGACCAGGAGTCATGGACCTGGAGTCTCAGGGAAAGAGGACAAAGAGCCTTTGGGGGAACACAGCTGGGGTCAGGGGGCTCATCTTCAATTCCCAGTTCAGCCCCCTCCAGAGAGGCCACCCCCAAGCTCACACATCCCCCAGCACATGGGGCTGTGTGGCTGGGACCCTGCCAAGCCCATGCATGTCCCCATCCACATGGGGCTGTGTGGCCAGGACCTGGGAGCCTGTGGGCATGGGTTCAAACCCCAGCTCCCCGAGGAAAGCCCCCTAGACACAGTCATTACAGGCATCTTTGATCTCAATACCATCCCAGCCATGCTTTCTGGGGGACTGAGGCCTACCAAGAGCTCGGGTACAGCCACAGGGCTCCAGACTCGGATGGCCATGGCCTGGGTCTTGGCAGTCAACTTCAAGGTCTTCACTTGCTATGGCCCTGAGCTTACAGGAGAGCCACAGTGTCCCCACCTGCCAGTAAAGACCCTCCAGAGGAAGTGAAGGACAAGGGGCAGGGGCTGGGAGGTGAACGTCCCTGGCCCAGAGACAGTAGGCAAGGAGGAACCAGGGCCAGCGAGCATCGGAAGTAGTGAAATCGTCCACTGCAAAACCCCTCCTGTGGCCAGCTCATGCACAAAGCCGGGTGTCCTGGGGGTGCTACAGGTCCCCTATTCAGAAGACTCATGCAGGAGACCCCACAGCATCTAAGGAGACTGACTTGCAGGGCAGGGGCACAGGA